GAGTCCCAACATTCAAACTGCCTCTATGATACTCAGCAATCATATGAACGCAGTATCAAGAATTTGGGGTTTCATTTGTTTAAGATGGGGGTCTCAATTTTGTTGCCTGTGCTGGTCTTGAACTTGTGGGCTCAAGCAATTCTCCCACCTCGGCCTCATAGAAAGGTAGGACTACTGGCCTGGCAGTATGAAGATTTTTCCCTTGATGAAGAGGAGTAGGCCAAGATGAACCATTTGAAAAAAATGGACATTATTTCAGGTGTTTTGTACACCACACAAAAGGATGATATATATTAAATGTGAGACCATAATAATCACTTTACAAGTATTCCCTTTTCCTCTTGAGGTTTAAACAAATGAGAATAAAGAAGGCAGGAGTCATCCACACAAAGAGGAAGCTTCTGATAGGGCCCTCTTCTTATAAAGCACCCACATGTGTGCTAGGCACATTATTTCATTGAGCCCTCATTCCTATAAAATAGGCATTATTATTATCTCTCTTTTATCTATGAAGAAGCCAAGTTGAAGAACTTGCCTAAGTTCCCATAGCTAGCCAGGACTCAGGCCTTTCTAGCTGACTCTGTAGACTATGCTCTTGCCTACTGAGCTATATAGTATTGTTTCAGATAATTCTGAAAAGAATTGTCTTTCTGCCAAAGAACTATAAAGATGTATTTTAGGTTGATTTCTACTTCTTTTACCTGATTCCATACTTTAGCTTCTGCTTTTACAATCCTTTCTTTGAATGAGATCTCTTGATACCTCTCTTCTTTATTCAGAATATTTGCCCCAATATCTGTGTATTTAAAGAGAAATGATCATAAACCTCCATAGATCATTTCCTGGATTTCCCTTCCATCATTACCTAGTTATTTATGTGGGCCATCTAGGAGTTATAGCCTTTTAGGAGAAGTCAATTCTGTGTGTGTGTGTGTGTGTGTGTGCGCGCCCGCGTGCGTGCTCTATTAAATCCAGCATGCTAAGCATATGCTCTACCACTAAGCTACACCCCTAGCCAACATTACACATATAGAGCACAATTTTTCATATTTCTGGTATATAAAGTATGTTCACACCAATTCATGTCTTCATACCTGTACTTTGGATAATAATGCCTATCACATTTCTCCATCCTTGCTAACCCCCTGCTCCTTCCTTCCCCTCCCACCCCTGTCCTATCTAGAGTTAGTCTTTTCCTACCATGCTCCCCCTCCCTACCCCACTATAAGTCAGTCACCTTATATCAGAGAAAACATTCAGCATTTGTTTATTTTAATTTTTTTGATTGGCTAACTTCACTGAGCATTATTTTCTCCAACACCATCCATTTACCTGCAAATGCCATGATTTTATTCTCTTTTATTGCTGAATAATATTCCATTGTGTATATATGCCACATTATTTTTTTATCCATTCATCTACCGAAGGGTATCTAGGTTGGTTCCACAGTTTAGCTATTGTGAATTGTGCTGCTATAAACATTGATGTTGCTGCCAACAACATTTTCTTTAAAGATTCCTATTGAGGGGGTAAGTTTTTCCCTAACTGATCAGGAGAGAACTCAGCACTATTAGGCCTAAATAGACAGTCATTCCCCTCATCATGCCCAGACTACACAGTAGGCAACTAGGGAAGCAAAGTGAAATAAATGCCTATTGAAAAAGCATATTTTTACAAAGTAGAATGGTGAATGAATATCCAAGATATATTAATATATTAGTACATTTTCAACTCCTCTCTCCTTGATCCTATCTGGGTACTGGTGCTATTTCCATCAGGAGAGTAGAAGCCGAATGTCTTCCTTACATTATATACATGCCTTTCTTCAGTGTGGGTTTACCTATTTCAGATGTAGTGTGAGCTAAGGAGTGGTTTATTATTTCTCTGTCAATGATCTAACTTTATTTCCAAATAATAAAAACCCCAAAATAATACCCTTTCTACCCAGAAAAGATCATAAGTCTAGGGGTTAGAGAACATGTAATATCAGATAGGTAAGAACAGAGCTGGCCCTGGAGCATGAGTCCTTCAAGCTGGTCACAGGGTTTGCCCACTTTCTCACAACTGAGTGATTGTCAGAGGCGGCCCACAAGCTGTTACAGGAGTAATAACCTTTGGGTGCTGAAACTGTACATAGTGATTTTTTCTTTCTGAATTCTTATAGTACTTACTCTTCATTCCATTCATTCTCACATCTTAGATAAGTTGAATTACTAACTTTTCATGTGATTATGTTTTGATGATCAGCCTCCTAAAATTACAAAACACACTTTATAGTGCATTGTATCTCTTGTGGTGCCTAGCTTGGCAATACAAGTGGACATGTGTGTTTATCTGCTTAGCACCTCTTCTCTCCCTCTGGTAATAGGACCCACTTCTCTCAAGAAATTCCCTCCCTCACTTGAGATCATTCCCGTAAGACTGCCAATTGCAGCATCCAAACTTCTGGTCTTCCACCCCTCTCTAGGTCAGAAAAATTAGCCCAGGATTGAGCATGTGCTGAAGCCTGGCTATCTATGCTCTTCTCTAAGACTTCATATAAGGATTTAAGGAGAACATATTTCTTTTCCCTCTGAGATTTCTAAGATGGAGATAACAGATACTTAAAGCTATTTGAGTCCACCCCCTCATTTCCCAGGTGCATAAGCCTGGCTGCAGTAGTAAACAATTAAGCCAACTCACTAAGAAAGTAATCATGGCAGATTGAAAGCCTAAAGTCAAGTTTCTCTATCAAAGGGTCAAGAATTTCATTTTATTCAGTATAATCTAAGTTGTGTTTCTGTCACCGGCAACTGAAAATGCATGTATGGAAATATAGTCTTTGCCACTAGGTCATCAGTGAGTTTTAAAACATAGGGCAAATACTATATGGTAGAGATGGACACACTATGAAAAATCTCAACACTGTGTAGCTACAGTTATGAAAGACCTAGGAAGAAAAGTGACTAAGTGTGGACCACTAAAGTGTGGAATTTCATAAAAATGCGATACAAATGTAGGTTGCTATTACTTTTAATGCTTAAATTTCCTTACTTTATATTTGTTATTCTCATACAATAGGTTACCTGAAGAGCTTTTTAATAATGCATATGCTGAGAAACTGCATACAAACAACTTGTATGAATCTAAAAGTCATTATGTTGAGTGAAAAAAGTCAATTTCAAAAGGTTATATACTGTGGGATTGTTTGGTAGCAAACTCAATCATGACAAAATTATAGTGACAGTACCCTCACAGTGATAAAACTGTGGTGGTGATAGAGAACAGATTAATGCTTTCCAAAGTTTGAGTTAGGGGAAATGAAAGAGTTTGTTACATGAATATACACATGCAATCAATGTCATAAAAATACACACTATGGAAAAAGTGCATATAAAGTCTCTGAGTTAATATTAATAGCATTTTTCCAATGGTAATTTCCTGGTTTTGACAAAGTACCAGGATTGTGTAAAATACCAATGGAAGAAGCTGGATCAAAAATGTCATCAAAATGCTCTACCTATTTTTGCAACTTTGAGTCAAAATATTTCAAAATAAAAAGTAATTAAAAGGTAAGAAAAAATATATATGCTGAGTTCTGACCCTGGAAACAGACTGAGAGGCTAAATACCTTACCTAATGAGTACAATTGGTAAGTGGAGTTGCTAAATTCCAACACATATTCTTTCATGGTAGACAAGCGACTTTGAACAGGGAAAAGCTGATAAAAGCCCACATAACAGAAAGAATAATATATGATGCTTAGAACAAAGGAAAACTAATAGTCACTTACCCAGTATATCTTTATGAGTGTAATAGCGTGTCTTGAACGGCTTGTAATCATGGATTCGTTTGAAGGTTTCTCCAAAAGGAGCTGGTGGAATTATTTTATTACAAAAAGCACAGCAAACAAAGTTTGTATAATCTGTATTTCTGATCATAGTTAAAATTTCAGATGTCTTCTATTATTTCCAGTTAAAATAATCTTAGGATCAGGAAAATTATTTTTAAGAGAAGCTAGAATTTTAAGAAAGCTGCAAGACATTCAGGGTTTTAGGATAAAGCTAGAGGCTGGTGAGGACTAAATGATTTACCATGATTATGTAGTTATGTGCCTAATTTAAAGAATGGTACTAAAAGCCTCTGCCACATAAAGTATGGGCACTGGATTTGGGAGGATTTAAGTAGTTGCTCCCTTCCAGCCTTTAGCATAAATTGTTAACACACTTAGCAACTGTTGCCAGGTAAGACAAGCTTTGCTCATAAAAGCAACTTGAAATAATGACAAAAGGGAACATAATGCAGCCACTGATTTTCCAGATAGTTTCTGTATTAGTTTCCTGTTGCTGCTGGACTAAATTAACACAATCTTTATGGCTAAATACAACATAAATTTATTCTCTTGAATTCTGAAGGTCAGAGTCCAAAATGAGTCTTTTAGGGACATTTCTGGTTCCTTCTGGAGGCATTAGGGGAGAATCTCTTTCCTTGATTTTTCTAGCTTCTGAAAGCCATCCACATTCCTTGGGTCCATGGCTTTGGATCATATTGCCTTTTTCTTCCAGCTTCCCTGGTGACATTGATTCCTCCTCTGATCTTCTGCCTCCCTCTAAGGACCTTGGAGATTACAATAGTCCCATTGAGGTAATCTAGGATGATTTCCGCATCTCAAAATTCAAAGCTTGATCACATCTGCAAAGTCCCTATATATAGTAATATATTCACAAAAGGCATCAGAGATTAGAATCTGGACATCATTGCAAAGGAGGAGAACATTATTCAGCTGATGACACTTTGTTTAAAAAATTTTTTTTAAAGAATGGATTTTTAGCTGGTTGTAGTGGCACACGTCTGTAATCCCAGTGGCCCAGGAAGCTGAGGCAGGAAAATTGTCAAGTTGAAAGCCAGTGTCAGCAATTTAGCAAGACTCTGTCTTAAATTAAAAAAAATTAAAAAAGGGTGGGAATGTGACTTGGTGGTAAAGAGTCTTTGGGTTCAATCTCCAGTATCCAGCTCTTCCAAACAAACAAACAAAAAAGAATGAATTTCTTTCAAGACCAAGGTAGTTTCTTATTTTTTTCAGGTTATTTATAAATGTGATGCTTTGGTGACCTGGCAATAAAACATAAATATCACAGTATATTAAAGGAAAAATTAGTCCATAAGTCAGTATTCAAAATGACTAAGCCTGGTTTTTAAAATAACCTAGCTAATTAATTTGTACCTATAATTTTAGAAAAACATTCTTAGAAATTCTGACTATTACAAACATCTGTGCAACCTGATTATACTAAGTGACTAAATTTTTAAAAGTTGTCCAACAAAGTAGTACACAGCATCTACCAGGCAGGACTGATCTTGAATTGATGTCATCAATGAAATTAATTTCAACAATAGAACTCCCATTGGACCCTGGTGAGAACTAAATGATTTACCCCGGACTAAGTTTGTCACAAAAGTTACAAAAGCAGGCTCTGCTCTGCTCTGAGTTCTCCATGATGTATAGAATAACAGTTTTCAAGCTGTGCTTAAGACTGTGTTCCTCCATTTTATTGTATGTGTTCTGGTCACTGGTGTGATCAATTGGTCACTCGGCTACCTCAGTCCTGGGGAGTAGAGGCGTGGAGTCAACACACAGACACTGGGAGTTTAGTGAGAGCTGGCAGGTGACAATCGCAGTTGAGTCCAACCAGCTTGTTTAATGCAGAAGTGATTACAATTAATATAGAATGCATCTTCCAATCATACATAAGAAAGCAGGTTATATAACATCTAGAAACCAATCATCTTATTATTAATGTAGCTGCACTATGAGGAAGCTCTAAATATTGCTTTGCAGTGGAAGGCAGATTGGAAGGATCATTTTCCCTAGGATAGGGGACCTTATGAGTTGGGGGTTTCATGCCCTGAAGCACCTAACTATCAGTTTCCTTGCCTTGTAACTTGACAATGCTAACTTCAAGCACTGCGGATGTGGTTACTGACGGCTCACTAGAGCAGAGTGCCCTTGCAAGTATTCCTGTCAGGCCTGTATGAGCGTAGGTTTTCCTAGCACTCTGAGCTGCTCATAGCTGCTAGCTGCAAACTGAAAGTTATTCCAACATTTTATAAAGCAGTAGTTTGCTATAAACACTTCCATTTTGAATTTCAGTGCTAAGGTGGAATGACTTTACACCTTGTTTGTGTAAGTAAACAACCACCATCTGCCCAGAACAACCATAAGACACAAACTGATATGTTAATTGTGCCAATAAAAATGACTACCTGTGAATTTTTAAAATTTATCAGAAGTACATAGATGCATAGGCATATTGAGCTCATATAGAAAAAAAACAGGCCTATGAGATTATCAAACACAGCAGACCACTGAAGGATGAAACCTCACTTGAGACCCATAAAAACAGGAGCCCCCCGCAAAACCGAACATGATGGCACCCTGACCCTGTTACTCACTCATCATGAGCCTTGCTCAGGAAAATCACCAGAGTGAAGAATGTCCAAAGCTCTGTGCTTTGGCTTTAGCAGAGTGTGGTTTCTCCTGCCTGTGTGGACCATGAATACTCCAAGCTTACATCTCAAACTGACACTGTGAAACTGCCTTCTCAAGACCTTGACATAGAATAAGTTCCTGTGCATTGACATGTATGTGCCTTGAACAAGTTATTTGGCTGGTTCATTTTCTTATCTACCTATAGTAACTCTTTGCATTCATATCTTCTGCTTTGCCTTTGCTTTCAGTTCAGCTTCTGGCCTAAAAAAAAAAAAAAAAATATATATATATATATATATATATATATATATACACACACACACACACATACACATATACATGCATACATACATACACACATATGTTTATATACACATATATGTATATACACACACATATACATACATATATATGTAAATTATATAAAATTAAGACTGGGCCAGGCTCTATGGCACACGCCTGTAATCCAAGTGGCTGGGGAGGCTGAGACAGGAGGATCAGGAGTTCAAAGCCAGCCTCAGCAATGGTGAGGTGCTAAGCAACTCAGTGAGACCCTGTCTCTAAATAAAATACAAAATAGGGCTAAGGATGTGACTCAGTGGTAGAGTACCCCTGAATTCAATCCCTGGTACCACAAAAAAAAAAAAAAAAGGAAGAAAGAAAAAAATTAAGACTGGAATAAAAGAAGCTGGGATTGCCCAGTTTATGACTACCAGGTGATCCACAAGTGTTTAGTGATTTGCCACTGATGAAAGTGGTTTAGCCTGTGAATTTATAGTTATTCAATAAATTCTGACATTGTAGAAAGACATAAACCTGTTTGGTCTATGTTAATGGCATAGCGTGTTAAAGACAGTTCACTGTAATTCCTTTATGAATCACATTTATATTGACTTGTATGACCTGATAGTAACTGGCTGAAGACTTAAACTCTATCAAATGGTGCCAGGATTGACTTCAGGAAAATGGTTAATTGGGACTGGGAGAGGAATTTAAAAGGAGATGAATTCCTACCAAAAATTGAAACCACTATATCCACAAAGTTAATTGTCTGGATTGAGAATAGAGGTCACTTGTATCAATTTGATTCTCTTATCTATTCCTGGAAATTTCTGCCCAGAAGGAAGAATAACCAATTGGTTTTGATTGATCTGGAGCTGTCCCTGTTTTAAAGTTCTGCATCCCAAGAACCCCTCATTGCCTGGTAAACTAGAAGGATCTGTCACCTTATGGAAGATAAAGTGGTAAAGCCAATAAATAACTTACTTCACTGTTTGCTTTAAGAAATTCTTAGAAACCAATTTACCAATTCAACACCTCACTGATTTGAGGCAACTAGTTCTCCTCTCACAACAAAAGATTACTCCTTTGGGCAAAAAAGGCCACTTGCCCTTTATTAAACAATAGTTTACTTACCAAGACTTGCTTCAAAACATAACTTATGTCAGTTTTTCCCACTCAAGCAGATTACCACACTGTTCCCTGAACAAGTTATTTAAAAGTTATTTAAAAATAATATATAGATAGGTATATGTCTATCTCTCCGTACACACACACACACACACACACACACACACACACACACATATATATCCCTTTGAACTCAGATTCCAAAGCACTGTAAATATCTTCCTCTGACTATCTCATATCCCATTCTTAAACACAACTGACTTTATGATAAAGAGGCTTCTTAGTGCAGTAGGTTTAATAAACTTAGTTTTGTTTGATCAACAATTTGTTCTGATAATCTTGTGGGGGAGTTGGCAATTAATAATCTTTTTCATATTTGTGTTCTAAAATATAGGGTTTTTTTTATTTAAGACTCAAATATCTTATGTTTAAGGGCTAATATAACTACTTAATTATTACATGGATTTTTATACATAAGAGGAGTTTAATATGTTGAAAAGATTCCCTAGACTTTTGGAGCAAGGACATTCAGGTTCCTGTCCTGAGAATTACTGGAGATATTGGGTAAATCTTTTAACTCTTCTTAGCTGGTTATCTTTTTTTTTTTAAGGAGTAAAAAATAATTTTAATCATAAAAATATGGAATGCTTCACAGATTTGTGCATCATCCTTGGGCAGGGGCCATGCTAATCTCTATATCATTCCAATTTTAATATATGTGCTGCCAAAGTGAACACTCAGTGGTTATCTTAACTGTAAATTGACAGAACTGGACTAGGTGAAGTCCAATGTTCAAAATCCTATAACTATTTCAAAGGGTACTCTATTTGGGGTTGTTATGCCCATTCAACAGAAAATGAATGAAAACATTAATACATTGCCTTTGACACTCTGCTCACACAAAGAATGATATAACCTGTAACCAGCCTGTAGGAAGTCTTATAATTAGGTATTCATTCCTAAAACTCAGTGTGATTCTTCCCTCACAATAATTTCCACAGCTTTGTGCTTGACTGTATCTGTTGCTACCCTGTTTCCTTCACACAGACATGGCTTAAGGCTTCATAATATATAGTTTTGTGGCCCTTCTGGACTGCGATAATTGTTCACCCAAGTAATATCTCCCCTTATACTGAATGTGAACTTATTTTCTTGAATCATAAAAGACTTCTAAAAGATGGCAACATGACAATAAGTACATAAGCTAAAAACAGAAGAATCCTAGTTCTATGATAATCAAAATACACAGAAAATCAAAAGCAAAAGGTGTTTAAATTAAAAGGCACTTGTATCATATAAGTGCATTTTAAATGATACAAAGTATACTATATGGAGAGGTATAGCAAAGAAATATTTAGGGCTTAGTGATAAAGATTTAATTAGATCCATGTAGATAAACACAAATGGCTATGTTCTTTAACACCTACAAATTCAGACATAACTGCATCTTTACATACCTTGCAAAACTTGAAGAGATAGAAATTAAAACCAATGTGATGAAGACAAACTGCCTGTGCTATTATTATTACTTGGTAATAACAAAAGAAACAAAACTTCAGGGATGAGATTTACTGCTGAGCCTCAACTACAGTAATTTGAAGAAAGGGGCAAATATCTAACAATGAAACAGGTCCAGAACCTTATCAGGAAGATTAAAATTATATAAGGAAGCCTAGCATAGTAAGAAAACCTTGTCTATTTCTCATCTATTGAGTAGTTTTAAATAATTAGAAGAATACTTGGTCTTGTGCTTATAACATCATAGAAACTAAACAAGTAGCATCTAGTTATAGTCAAATAAATACCTCATAACCTTTTTTAAAAAAGAAAAATTTCAATTACTTGGTATTATTCTCTCAATCATTATTTTAGTAACTGAGGGGGATATCTTTTTAACTTAAATACAATTCTGAACCAAAAACAGTTGAAAATGAAACCAAAATATAGGAGCCATCTGTGACTGTAAGAACTATTTGTCAGAGTCAAACTCAGTTTTCATTTCTCATACCTTAATGTTGACTTCAGGATTTAAAGTTATGATTTCTCCTTCCTTACAAATACAGCTTCTATGCCATGTAGAACATGCACATTTTCTTTGCATGCAACAGAACAAAACAAAGCTCTCATAATAGCTACAAAGCACGACTCACCTTAAAACATTAAAATGTCCATGCACACTTAACAGCACTGAGTACTTTTATCACACAGAGCTCAATAATTAACAAAAATGACTCTATCCTCAAGTCTTTTTTAAAAAAAGAGGATTTAATAAAAGAGAAATACTCAGATGCTCTTTCTGTGGAAAGAAAATAAGACAGTGGCTGCAGCTGTATAGGGAAAAAATTTACTGTAGTCATTTGGCTACAACTGCTCCCTTCTCATTAACATATTCTAGAATAAGAAATATGATTATGTACACTCGAAAAGCTTTCATTTGAAGATTTCAGAGCCTTTAATAAAGTTCCAGTGCAGTAACCAGCCCTTTAATCCCATTTAGAAGTTTTTCTCCTCATATAACTGTGCCCTTCACTATCAATTGCTTCATAGAGGTCCTTTTTATTCTCTTGTGTTGCATGTAGATAACCAATATAAGCCACACAAAGTGAAAGGGTGACCAATCCAAAAGCCATCACAGGTTTGTTCTGTCAAAGAAAAAAAAAAAATATAAAGTCTCATTAGGACAATAATTTGAGGAGATTCAGCTGTCTGTTGCATTCTCCTCTTGACACACCAAGTCTTTATTACCAGGCTAGCATTCCTATGGCAATATTTCAATTATCATTTACTCAATTATTTATTCAATTAGCTTGACTCTTGTTTACAGATTATAGAAGATTCCTGCTTCTCCACTCTACAGCCTGGACATCTTAGATCTCCACCCTCAGGAAGGTGACACGTGAGAGAGGAGTGAGGCATGGACATTGGTCTGGTACGGAGTCTTCAGTGGTATCTATGTGATGCAAAGAAGTTGCTTAATTTATCTTGTCCAAGTCTTTCCACTTTCAAATCTCATAGTAGCTTATTTAATTAGAAAGTGAGGAATGAAGAACAGAAGGTGTTTTTCTTGCCCAAGACATGTATAACTGTCAAAAAGCCTTTTATAACCTATTTTAGGCATAGAAGTAATAATAATGTGCACACTTTTCTGGGAGTCTAAATTTAGTGACTAGAACAGATATTATACTGTTATAATAACTTTGATGTACTAGTGGAAGACCCAAGACCATAGAAGCAAAGCAATGTAGCCTTGAATAAAATAAAATAAAATAAAAAACTTTTAAATACAGGAGTTGGGCTGGAGATGTGGTTCAAGTGGTAGCGTGCTCGCCTGGCATGCGTGTGGCCCGGGTTTGATCCTCAGCACCACATACCAACAAAGATGTTGTGTCCGCCGAGAACGAGAAAATAAATAAATAAATATTAAAAATTCTCTCTCTCTCTCTCTCCCCTCTCTCACTCTCTCTTTAAAAAAAAATTAAATACAGGAGTTTCCAGAGTAATGTTTTGTCTATTAATATTTTGGGCCCATGGCTGACAGTGTATAACTGAAACTCTGAAAAGCAAAAACTCAGATAAGGGGTAAGGGGTGACTATTGTACTACTTCAAATCGTAATTGCTAAAGAATAAGAGTTAAAGTTTTTGACTTGAATGAATATCTTTAAAAAAGCTGCAAACTCAGAGCAGTTTAAATTTGCAATTCTTGAAATTCTATTGGCAATTTAAAAAACACATTAGTTTGGTCTTTAAAACAATCTATCTTAATTTAATTAAGTTGACCTATTTAGCTTTAAAACAGCTTACATTGGCAACTGCTATTAAAATTCTAATCAGATTTATTTATTTTTTTAAAGAGACAGTGAGAGAGGGAGAGAGAGAGAGAGAGAGAATTTTTTTTAATATTTAATTTTTAGTTTTCGGCGGACACAACATCTTTGTTTTGTATGTGGTGCTGAGGATCGAACCCGGGCCACACGCATGCTAGGCGAGCGTGCTACCACTTGAGCCACATCCCCAGCCCTCTAATCAGATTTAATATAATTTGATTTCATTTACTTATAAAATAGAATTTACATTTATTTAAAAATAAAATTCATCAATCAAATATATTCATTAATTTACAGAAGAATATAAAAGATTTTCTATCTCCATGACAGCGTGCAAATGTATGGTTTGGATTTTTTTCACAAAATGTAAAATTGCTTAAATAATGATTAATAAAAGCTGGAAATGCAGTAAGAACAATGAATTTCCATTTTTGTTTGTTTCAAAGGAAGGTCTTGGGGCTGGGGATGTGGCTCAAGCGGTAGCCCGCTCGCCTGGCATGAGTGCGGCCTGGGTTCGATCCTCAGTACCACATACAAACAAAGATGTTGTGTCCGCCGAAAAACTGAAAAATAAATATTAAAAAAATTCTCTCTCTTTAAAAAAAAAAAAAAAACAAAGAAAGGTCTTATTTACCAAATAGTACATGATCAAACTATAAGAATTACCTTCAGGCTGGGGTTCTGGCTCAGTGGTAGAGCGCTCGCCTAGCACAGGCGAGGCCCTAGTTCAAACCCGGACACCACATAAAAATAAATAAATAAAGATATTGTGTCCAACTACAACTTTTAAAAAAATAAATATTTTTTTAAAAAAAGAATTACCTTCAAAATAGTGCAATAATTAAATTAATATGTTATCTTGAGAAGCTGATCCATTAAAATAATCATTTTCCATTATAATTCTCAAATGCCCTCAAAATACTTCATTTTAATCTGTGTATTTATACATGAAACAGGATTTAAAAAATTTTTTTCACTTGCTTTTATTCATAGAGAGGACTTACTGATAGAAACTTTCCATGATAAAATCAAATGCTACAGAAAAAGAACTTTCCATTTCAGATAGCCTAATTAAACATAAAGTCTTATCCTGGATTATGTATTATCTTACAGGCTTAATGAAGAGCTCTGGATTCACAGCTCGAAATAAGGTCGTCGTGCGTACCCCTCTGAGCCCTGGATTTGGAAAGTCTTTCTCTTTGGGTGATTCCTTTTTAAGTGTTGGTGGCTCAGGTGCTGAAGACATCTTGACTAATGCGATTTATTACCTAAAAATAAAGTAATACATTATTCCTTCATACTTGTTTCTTTGATAAACCTCTTTTAAAAAATATTTCTTATACAAGCAACAATAAATGTTGGCAAGAATGTGGAGAAAAAGGTACACTCATACATTGCCAGTGAACTGCAAATTGGGGCAACCACTATGGAAAGCAGTATGGGGATTCCTCAGAAAACTTGGAATGGAACCACCACTTGATCCAGTTATCCCACTCCTGAGCATATACCCAAAGGACTTAAAATCAGTATATTATAGTGACACAGCCACATCAATGTTTATAGCAGCTCAATTCACAATAGCTAAACTATGGAACCAACTGATGTGCCCTTCAATAGATGAATRGATCAAGAAATTGTGATATATACACAATGCAATATTACTCAGCCTTAAAGAATAATGAAATTATGGCATTTACTGATAAATGGATGGAACTGGAGAATATTATGCTAAGCAAAATAAGCCAATCCCAAAGAACCAAAGGATGAATGTTTTCTCTAATATGTGGATGCTAATTCATAATAAGGGCCGGGGAAAAATAGAGGTAATTTGGACTAGACAAAGGGGAGTGAAGAGAGGGAAAGGGGCATGGTGGTAGGAGCAGAATGAATTGTACATTACCCTGTGTGCATATATTACATGATCTGTGTAACTCTACATCATGTACAACAAGAATGAGAAGTTATACTCCATTTGTGTGTGATGTGTCAAAAATGCATTCTACTGTCATGTATGGCTAGTTAGAACAAATTTAAAAGATCATTCTTATACTCATTTAAATTTTTTTTTAATAGTTGTAGATGGAGAGCATGCCTTTATTTATTTTTTTATGCAGTGTTGAGGATCAAACCCAGTGCCTCACACATGCTAGGCAAACACTCTGCCACTGAGCTACAGCCCCAGCCCTACTCATTCTTTTTTTTTTTTGAATTCCAGGTATGCATCAAAAGTGATTGTAAGTGGCACTTTAAGTTTGGTTTGCTAAAATGGTTATTACTATTATTTTTTCATCTCTTAAACTCCAGTAAAGTGGGCAGAAGTCTGGAGAATGGTTTGTTGGTCTGAGTCAGATTGTTACCTGTTGTAAGAAGTCAGGGCTGGGGCTGTGCCTCAGTGGTAGAGCACTTGCCTAGCATGTGTGAGGTACTGGGTTCGATTTTCAGCACCACATATAAAATAAAGGCATTGTGTCCATCCATAACTAATTAGAAAAAAAAAAAGAAGAAAAAGAAGAAAGGGCTAAGGGAAAGAGAGGCCAGTGGGTAATCCATTCCTTTATTTACTCTTCTTTTCATTTTTTCTCACCTTCCAACAGCCCATCTGAGGGAAGTACTATACCATTCCTTTGCTTAATATCTCCTACAGCTTTACCCCTGGCCTAATTTCCCCTCATCCTCTGCCTTTTTCCACTGGCCCACTCAAGCAGAAGAGGAAGCAGCTGTTTCTATTCACTCTCCCTCTGTCTATTAGCAACTCCCTGGAAGGTCATCCTCTGCTATGTCCTTAATCTAAATATCCCTTCATCAAGAGATGAAGGGATATTTAGATTTAATAGGATAAATTTAGAATAGATGGCTATTCTAAATTTATCCTATTAAATTGAAGTGTGTCTTTTGTCCTAGCTGGAATAGTCAACAATTTGAGAATGTTTTTCTCTTCCAGGTATCATTCCTGCCATCTAATACTGGGATAGTGGTGGTGGTGGGAGTCGGGGTTTGAAAGGGAGGAGGTAAAAAAAAAAAAAAACCTTTCCCAAACTGAAATTAATGACAATAAAAGTCAATAAGAGTCAGACATTCACATTTAAGCTGGGCACAGTGGCCATACCGGCTCGGGAGGCTGAGATAGGAGGATCCTGAGTTCAAAGCCAGCCTCTATAAAGGCAAAATGCTAAGCAACTCAGTGAGAGCCTGTATCTAAATAAAATACAAAAAATAGGGTTGAGGATGTGGCTCAGTGGTTGAGTGCCCCCGAGTTCAATCCCTGGTACCTAAAATAAAAAATAAAATTCACATTTAAACATTAATTGTTGCTTTGTACAAATATTCTTTATTAAGTCTTCTATTTTATATACTTTAAAAGCAACATTTTTTTGCAACTTAACAGTCTTGGAGGAAATCAGGTGCTTAGCTTTTCAAAACACTTTATGCTGCAATGCTCCTGAAACATTAATCTATACCACTCAATAGGGTAAACACCTCATAGAAACATCTGCCTGAAGGGAAGGGATTCTCCACGTTCTATATTTGCAAAGGCTTTAGATCATTGTTGGCTGTTCTATCTCTTGGTCCCCATACATGTTATAGTTATCATTGCTGATGTCATCATCTTCTTACCATCATGGCTTTCTGGTTCCATTTTTAAATAAGTGAGAATCCCTGTAGCAATTTCATGTACTGCAAACACTTGGGAAATAAATTGCTATTTGTAGCCATGAAGTCTTCAAAATATAGCTGTTTGGGGATACCAGAATCAGTAGCAATTTAGAACTAGGATTGGTTCAAATACCATGTTGAGTTGGTATCTTTTTCCACGTGTACCTCAGAGGTTTCTACAGGAATTATGCCTGTTAGTTGCCAACATATTACTATTGTACACGATTTTACAGACCACTGGGTCTCAACAACCATGTCAATGGTTTGCTTCATGTTGATGTTCTCAGCCTTTTTCTTCCTTGTCTAAATTTAGTTATTCCTGCAACTGGCTCCAGTAGCAAGCTTTTGCTGTGTGAATAATCCCGGATTTGAAGGCTGAAGAATGGCTGTGCAATTCAATGGGAAAAACTCAACTTATATGCAATCCAAGCATGGAAATATGTTGTAGGCAAAGCGATTTCTTACCGGCAAGAGGATACCGCATTTTGTTCCTTTCATTCTCTTGTCAACTTAACTCAGCTATTCCCTACTCAGCCATTCCCTAAAAAAAATGTTATCATTTGGGCATGTGTGTTGGCTTGTTAATTACAGAACAAATGAACAATTCTGAAGCAATGGGGGTTAGCTGACTTGCCAATGATGAGTGGTCCAAAACACTCTATAGCAGAATATAGCGACTACCAATCTGTTTACTTCCTTTTAAAATATCGTCTCTGTCATAAAGCACAAAAGAAAGTCACAAACTGGTAGAGTATACCTGTTTCATCAGCATTTAAAACACCATTCAAGCTGTAACCAGCAATTGTTTGGTCTTTGTTTTTAAAATTTCTCCTACACACAAATTACTAATTTTCTGAAACACTGTTTTCTTCACTACAGACAACATCTGAAGCAATTCCATAAAGCGCCTAAAATTTGTTCAGTCAGCTGAAACTTACTATGGCCAAGTTAGTAAAAACCTGAGGCATTATGTTGCAGAAATAGTACAATTAAATGCTCATTTCCTGCATGAACTTCTTGGTTACTACCCCCAAAGGACCCACATTCAACTCTGCTTTAGTCTTAAAATATTTTTAAACTTTCTCTTCAATCTTGGCTCAATCTTTAAAAATAATGGACAATGTAGGGGGAATGATGCTAAATACCTTTGCTATTTCTCCTACCTTGTGACAGCAATCTACTGTTTCCACTATCATCAMTCTTCTCTTCTAATAAAGACCCCTTTGAACCTTCCTATCATGATGATTGGATGGAAGATGTGACAAATGTGTTTAGAAGTTAAGTAACAAATACTGGCCACCAAGTGCTGAAGCCAGATATCAATGATGTTTCTCCTTGTATTAAAAAGTACACTTGAATAGGAATGTTGGGGAAAGAGAAAATTCAAAAGGAAAAAAATAGTGAAGTGTAAACAGCATTTCAGTCTACCAACAGGATATATCTGTAAGAAATATTAGGCAGGAAATGATTGACATATGGCCATACTGTTAGGATAGAATCTAGAATCCACACGCTCAGTTTACTACTACTAGGACATTAGATAAAAATACTAGGAGAGGGAATGCAGTTGTGACTCAGTGGCAGAGTGCTTGCCTAACATGTGTGAGGCCCTGGGTTTGATCCTCAGCACCACATGAAAATATATTGTGTCCACATACAACTAAAAAAAATTAAAAATACTAAGATGGTCTAAAAAGGCAAATTTACAAAGGCAAGGCTTTCTAAACAGCAACTGACACAAAGGGATGAAAACAGCTCCATGTCATTAAAACAATGATATCCTATAAAAATGAATTAAAGTTGTTCATGGGGAAGAAAAACAAGGTAATAGGGGAGTAGGTAAGGAGAGCACATTATTATAGAGCAAAGAAGAGTCCTCAGAGCATAGTTTATCATGAACACTGTGTGGATGGCAATGACAATGTGTCAGGAATTCAGAGGGGAAAATACACACACACACACACACACACACACACACACACACATTACAGCCAACAAAATTTTCACTACAAGTTGAATATCCCTTATCTGAAATGCTTGGGACCAGATGTGTCTCTGAATTTATCTAAATTTTGGGATGTTTGTATACTTAATGAGATAGGGGATAAAACTCAAGTCTAACCACAAACACTCATTTAATACTTCATATGTACCTTATCACAGACTGAAGGTAATTTCACATAATACTTTAAATAATTTTATACATGAAAAAGTCTGTGTACACTGACCCATGAGAAAGCAAAGGTGCCACTATCTCAATTACCCATATGGACAATTTGTGGCTATTTGGCATCACCATCATTCCACTCTGAATTCACGTGCTACTAGAGAGCAATCATTTTAATGTATTCATTCACACATAAGTGCTAACAGGAAAAAACAGGACATACAATTAATATAGTGAAGAAGTAATATGTTTAAGGTAACTAAGCAGCACAGTGGCACCAGCTGTTAAACAATAGCAGCTTTCAGTTTCCACCTGCAACATTGTTTGATTAAAAGGCTGTTGTACACTATTTTATTTATTTAGGTGAGAAGAATCATCAGAAGCTGTCGAGGGGCCAGGAAGTGGCTCCTGTAGGGATGAGGAGGCATTGTGCTGGGTGGCTTTTTTAAAAGTTTTCTCCAGGGTTGTCTGCCTCATTAGCAGCAGTTTTTGTCTCAGAAGTCTCTCTTTGATTTTATAAATTGACATGATTTCTTGTTCTGTTATGAATGCACGCTGCTCTAGACCTTTAATAAGCCCATCACACAGTCTGACCATGTTTTCCACAGGCACTTTCTCTGCAGTGTTAACATCCCCTTTGTCATCACTATTATCACATTCACCTTGATGCAGAACCATTTCAGGTATTTCACCATTGGTCAATGAATGAACAACTGGAGCTTGATTATTGATATGAAAAACTTTTTTGATATCCACTTTTTCAATAAATTTCTCTGTTGCTTTGTTATTAGCAGCTGTTTTATCACCACAAATCTTTAAAAATGTAATACCATGTCTTTTCTTAAATTTCTGCAACCAGCCTGTTGAATATTCACAGTTTCCTTGAATTTTCAATTCATCATGATAGATCTTTGCTTGTTTCATGATCAGCATACCATTCAGTGGCATGTGTTCATTGCGACGCTGACGGATCCACTCTTTCAACACACGATCAAGATCTTCATTCTTAGCTTTATGCAATGTTTTTCTATTTTTCATTAACTTTGGTTCATCACTTTCAGCATAGAACTTCAGCAGTTTATCCTTCTGTTTCTTCAAGTCATATATGGTGGTCATTCCAACACCATACTCTTCTGTAAGTTGTTTCACACTAATACCACTGTCCAGTTTTTCCAATAGCTTGACTTTCTGTGCTATAGATAAACATAAATGCTTCCTCTTTTTCTTATCATTGTTACTCACAGGGACATCTGCAGGCCTTTTTGACATTTTCAATAATATTTTTACACTGTAGAGCAAAGAATATGCAAAAAACTACTGCTAACAACGCATGTATGTCTTGGCCCCATGTGGAACATGTTGGGGAATCTGCTGTTGGCACAATGGGCCTGCACACGTCATTTTATAACCCTCTGAGGGTGTGCTTCTGTGAGAGAATCTGGGTGTGTGGAGAAAAGATATATTGCAGCTGAAGACAAGGAGGGTCTTATTTTCCTTGGGGATGATGAATAAGCTGTGTTGTATACCTGTGTCTTGACTGCAAGCTGTCATATGAGATTAAGTGTGGAATTTCCCACTTGAGGCATCATGTTGGCACTCAATAAGTTTTGAATTTTGGAGTATTTCAGACTTTCAGATTAGGGATGCTCAACCTGTATTTTAAAATTAAAGGGATGCAGTAATGTTTAATATCATGAAATTCAACCAATATGAGATGTGTCTATTAAAAAACTATCTGGGGTTCTAACTTGAATTGTAATGGCTAAATATCAGTTACAAGATTCCTTGATCTTCTTTTTCCCTTAGAAGAACCTAGTTTTCCTTCATAAAGAATCAAGGAAATAAGCAATCAAGGTAGCACTTATATTGCAACATCCATATCCAAATTCTTATTAATAATACATCATTTATGTTAAACTAAACTCTTCACTAGAAATAACAAAGAATATGTGGACTGGGGCTGGAGGATAGCTCAGTGGTAGAGCACTTGCCTAGCAGGAGTGAGAGGCTAGGTTTGATCCCCAGCACCCAACACACACACACACACACACACACACACACACACACACACACAGAGAGACACACACACCACCTGGACTGGAAACCCACATGTATATTTTTAAAAACTTAATATGCTACAATTTCCGTTGTTTTTGATATTTTCTGGAGTTAATGAAAGTAACATTTTTCATTTTTAGCATTCTTTAGTAAGAAGACATCTCAGTTTTATGGTCCTTTCTCCTGTTTTGAGCCAGAAACTGAAGATGTTACAATTGTTCTCCCAAAGTTTTCTAAACTTATTTACACATCAAATACATAGTTATATGTATAAAAATACATTAGATTATTTTTTAAATGTCCTGAACTTATTTATACATCTAATACAGAATTCTTTTTAAAAAAATATTTTTTAGTTATAGGTGGACACAATACCTTTTTTAATTTTATTTTTGTGATGCTGAGGATTGAACCCAGGGCTTCACACATGTTAGACGAGTGCTCTACCGCTGAGCCACAGCCCCAGCTCCTAATACAGAATTCTTAACACTCAGATTACTGAGGTCATAAAGAATTTGTTATATGTAGTTATAAAAAATTAAAAGAATAAAATATTTTCCCATAAGAGAAGGTTCTTCTGTATTTCTGTACATGCCTGGCCCACAGAACTGTGTATATGTGGGAATTAGAGATGTACTGGTTGAATAAACAAGTGTGCAGCATGAAAAATCTCAGTTGACTCTTCATAGATGTATAAATCACCAGGATTTGGGGGGGAAACAAAGTTCTATATCAACAAGCAAACTTTTAATCTTGAAGTAAAAGCAGACTTGCTATTTTCAAGTGAAGAACTAATGTTAAGTTCCACTTCAAAAAGTTGCACAAATTTTAAGCTAAGGCCAGGTGCAGTGACACACACCTGTAATCCCAGCAGCTTAGGAGGCTGATGCAGGAGGATAGAGACTTCAAAGCCAGCCTCAGCAACTTAGCAAGCCCCAAGAAACTTAGGAAGACCCTGTCTCAAAATTAAAAAACAAAACAAAACAAAAAACATAAAAAGGGCTGGGGTTATGGTTCAGTGGGTTAAGTGCCCTGGGTTCATTCTCTGGTACCAAAAAAATAAAATAATTATAAGTTAAAAACACAGCAATAACTGATATTACCACTCAAGTGAACTATACCTAAGACAAAACCAGTTAACATCAGGCATACTTCCATCAGAACTTTCTAAGTCTTCCCATCACTTTCTCCAACTTCCCCCCAACACACACAGGAGTTATTAGCACTTATTTGCATATAACCTTAACAAATATTTAGTTATACTCCCTTTTATAATCTGTTTATTTTGAATCTAGATTTAAATGGGGGAATCATAAAACACACACACACACACAGGATATCAGGAATGATAGAAATTTGACATTGCACCACTCCTAATTAATTTGGTGACTAATTTGTGTGCAGGACCACTTGCAAAATAATAAATCAGGCACTACTGACTGCACAATCTATTCAGGTGCACTTATTCTTATTTTTTTTTTAGAAGAATCAGGAAATTTTAAAATAAACAAAATATTTCATTGGGAGTATAAATATATTTTAGTTTCATATACCAGGTATCTTAATACTTAAATAACTTGATGATTAGTACACATGAGGAACTGTATTGTAAAAAAAAAAAAAAAAAAAGGAGATAAGACGATATCTTGATATCTGGGTCAGAATAACTTAAAAAAATAATTTCAATTAGTACAAACAGGTTTGGGACAATCAGAGGACTTTATGGCTTGAGGGAATTTAGCACAGTCTCAAATTTCAACTTTACCACTTCTAAACTGTGATTTTGAGTAGGTTTCACTTCTGATTTCCAGACTTCACCTTTATGAAAGCAGTAATACTGTCTATTGCACAGAACAGATGCGAATGTATACGAATTAAATGAAAACATTTTTTAAAGCATAATAGATTTTAGATTTCCAGAAAAAGTTACTACTGTCATCTTATCCTCCATCCTCCTTTAAACAAAGAGAAACCCAAACTCAAAGTGATTGCCTCTTTGCTAGGAGGGTCACCCCACTTCCAGCCCACTCCTTACTCCATCACCTCATACCATCTCACTTTAGACTTGAAAGAAAACATGGACTTTGCATGTGTGAGTTATTAAAACAACATTTGTAATAATAAAAAAATGGGTCCTATATGTTCTTTGCAGTGTAATTTTTTTTTTTWAAATCTCTTTCCATTTCTTGAACTTATTGTACCTGAAAAAAGGAGAAATATTTTGTCAAGGGCTTGTTGCAGATATCCTGAAAAACCTATTTGGCTTCCCCGCAAAGTAGTACCTACACTTCCGTTAATTACTTAGGACCTACTCAAAGATAGGTGCATTTGAAGCCTCCAGGAGAAACTGCAGTCAATTAAGTTCCAGACACTGTACTAGGGGGTTGAAAACGCACCGCTACAAAAGAAAAGGGAATCTTGTGAAATAACAAAACTACACTCCCCTAAATGAGAGAGCCTGGTGAGCTGGGACTCAAACAGCAGAGAAAGTCGCAAGGGTCAGGGAAATGGGCTCTATGCGGCCGCATACTTCCGAGACCCGGCATGCGGCTCACGTAGTCCCGGAATGGAAGGGTCGGGCTGCCTGAACCAACGCAACCAAGTACGCGGCACCTGACAGTAACACTGGAAAGAAGCAACGGCCCTGCCCACTCCCAGCCAGCGTCCCTCCACCCGGAAACCCACCGCCACCGTTCACCTACCGCGGGGTCACCCCTTTTCCGCGCTTGCGACTGCTCGGCCCCCTGCGAGAGAGAGAAGCCGAGCGCGCTCGACCCGGCCCACGCTGCAGCGCCACCTACATCTCGGAGGCTGCAGTGCTGAGGCGCAGGGATAACTAGGCTCCACCTGCCCAAGCCTCTACCTCCTGAGATTGACCTGCCACAGCGGGGTTTGTGGGCTGGAGTTTTGCAAGGGACATTTCCCCCTCCCCTCTTTTCTCCTATTGACCTGTCTTCAGCCTTCCAGCTTCAAATAACCTTTCCGTTTCATGTTCATGTTTTCTACAAATAATAGGAGACCATCGCCAAGAAATATGTGTTTATTTAATGAAAATGGGGAGTATTACAAATTAGAAAAGAAGACTTAGGTCAAGGCTCTGTCTACCCTTACTTTAAGGACAGAATAATTTAAGTGTACAGTTAATCCTCTGCCRTTTCTGTTAGGGCCTTCAGATTGTTAAACACAAGATTATGCAGTAATGATTAAGATAACAAGATGAATAGGGATGCTGGTTTGCTCATCCTTGTTAATGCTTACATTTGTTAAATTTTGTTTTAGTTGTAGATGACACAATACCTTTATTTTATTTATTTATTTTATGTGGTGCTGAGGATCAAACCCAGTGCCTCACATGTGCTTAAGCAAGCACTCTACCACTGTGCCACAACCCCAGACCAGATTACAGGTTATATTTAAACTAACAGAGTAACTGGTACACAGATTTTTGGCATGAGTTTATGTAAAGCTTTGTCAATTGGATTTTGAATATAAAATTTGTTCTTTTAAGTAAAATTAAATGTACATTTGATGTGAGGCTTACTTTTTCAGTGTTCATTGATATCGGGTATTATTGAGCAATCTTTTGACAAAACAAGTTAAATTTCCATGGAAGAGCTGCCCAGAAGCTGAGAACAATATGCAAGGATACAAAGCATTGTGCTGCATCATCAATAGACCTAATTTTCTCCTCATCCTTAGGGTTCTCCTCACTAATATACAACTTGCCAAATATCAATATGGAAATAAAAATGCTATTACAGTCATGACCAATCCAAAGGAATCAGATGAAAAAATAAATGAGACATAAGAAAATACAAGGAAAAAGCATCAACTGTGGTAAAGACAGCTGAGAAAAGCCTAACTTGTAAATTTCTTGGATACAAATACAATTCAAATGATCTGAGTAAACAATAATTCATTCCATTTTATGATGCTTTCAAGAAATTACTTTGAAGAGTGATGCTGGTCTGGTTACTTTCATAATCTTCATTTTGGACACAATCATAAATATTTAATAATACTGAACAGAAGATTTTTATATTTAATGGGATTGCATAAAGCAGAAATTTGTCTATGTGAAAACATTAAAATTGATCAAAGATAGCCATTGTAATACTTAGTGGTTCCTAAATGTGCCCTGAGATGACTGTAATGGTCTGGGATCCTTCCCAAGAGATATCTGGTGACACAGGTTATTTTTTTTCCAGGCAAGCATTAACGGTTGACTTATAATATCTAATAAAAATCACACATGATCAGTGTTTTGTCAAAGGCAGATTTTTTAAAAAATATAAATGCTGCCTTTTTAAAAACCATCTTTCAGAAAGCTGAATCAAAGTAGATGATTTATTAATGTGAGCCAAAGATATCTAATTCCCTTGAATAAATTAGTTGACAAATGTAAAAATCAAGCATGTTATGGTAATTTGAAAAAAATAATCCCAATTCTCCCCACTGCCTGTGTCCACACTCTCCATACCCTTCCTCATGCCCTCCCACTCTGACTCTGGGTTCAGCCTTGTATGGCTAATACAATATTAGCAAATGTGATCCAAAAGAAGCTATAAAAGCATTTGAACTGGTAAGCATGCTCCAACAAACCCACTGAAGATGAAAGATACACAGACCAAAGTCAAGATCCCATTCCCCAAGCTTCTGATTCTGCCAATCTGGATTGGAGCCTGAGAATTTCCATTTTTATCAAGTTCTTGGGTAATGTTGCTGCTCCTAGTCCTCAAACTGCATGTTGAGAACCATTAACCTACATGACAGGGCATTTTCTTTTCCATTTTCTAGATAAGATATTACTTGTTATTAAATAATTTCTATTTTGAGGAGAGGGATGTAGAATATTTTAACTCATCGTAAGAAAATCCTCTGAAAATTTAAATTTAGGATCCAATTACACTTCTAACAAAAGAGACAAAACAATCATTTCTGATGATTGAGATTTAAATACAATTGGTATTAATAATAAATCCATGGATTATTATCAGTGTAAAGACAATTGATTAGGATAATTTTATTTGAATATCTTGCTATTTATTCTGAGAAGGCATTTTCCAAGAATCACCAAAAAATACAGATATTTTAGGGAAATTAGAAGATGTATTCTAATTATTTCTAACTCCATTCAGGGTACAAAACAAATACTTTAGTTACTGAGCGGCATAAATTATAAGAAAGTTCTTTAAAAGTTCTAAAAGAGGGTCACATAATGCCTCAAACAAAACTACAAAGTCTCCAGTTCAAATAATAATAATAATAATAATAATAATAATAATAATAATGATTTCCTTGTTTTCTCTCCTCCCTATCTTCTTCATGGGGCTTTCCTCAAGTCATTTGGAAGTTGTTATACAACAGTTGACATATAAGGGAAGGGTATTTGTAGCTTGCAGTAAGTGTTTTTATTCACAGCAAAGCTGTGAATGCACCACATTCAGGGAAAATGGGTGGTAGGCTTTTGTGCCAAATTAAGGTAAACTGATAAGTTAAGTGCTTTTCTTGATTAGTGACAGCATTTGTTAAAAATTCACAATGAAAAGACTGAAATCTCTGGAGGAAAACAGTCTCACATGCTAACAAGACTTGCCAAACTTCTGCCTCTCTCTCCAAGCCACTAGGGATGCCTTGTCTCTCTTCCAGTCATATCTAATTATTTTGCACAGTTTCTTTCTGTAAGAAGTAGAACTCTGACAGGCAGACAGGCAAAAAATGCTTTTCCATTAGCCCAAGAAAGCCTGATGAAATAAGATAAACTGGCTCAGGCACATTATAATGGAAAGTAAGTGAATCAGACAAAAAGGGTAGTAGGATTACTCAATTGTGAGGGATGATTTTCTTTAATATTGTTGATGCATGTATTTTCAATAACTATATGATATAAACTAGTATGCTGTCCCGCATGTTAATCAACTTTTTGTTACAGTAGGAAAGATTTATTTGCTCACAGTTTCAAAGGTATCAGTCCATGGTGAGTCGGCACCACTGCTTTTGGGCTGGTGGTGAGGCAGAACTTCACAACAGGGAGCTTATGGTGGGTCAAAGCTGCTCAATTCACGGTGGCTGGGAAACAAAGAGAGGAGAAGGGGTGAGCTGGTTGAATACCCCCAGTAACCTAACTGCCTTTCCTGATTTCCACCTCTTAAAGGTACCACCTACTCCAGATAACACCACAGACTGGGGACTAAGACTTTAACACATGGGCTATTTGGGGATATTCCATGTCTAAACTATAACACCTATTAACCATTTTTTTTTTTTACTTCGATTACCATGTATTGGTTCTTTTCACCTTTAGGTTTTACAATTCATCCATATCCATGCATTTCAGTCAATTGTTTGTTTCCTTTGCTATATAATATTCTATTGTATTGAGAATTGAAATGACCTGCTGTTGAGAGCCACAGCCTAAGAGGCCCCAGCAAACTTCCAGCTGCCAGCTGATTGGCTCCTCTGTGGTGATGCTCATTTGGCTGTTTCCCCGAGCTTTCAGACCATGGAGCTGCTCATTGGGGACTCTTTTGGCTCTGCCCACACGACCCAGCCAATCAGCCTCAAGAGCAGGAGGGGGGGGCGGTTGAGAGGCTTGTGGGAAGCCGGTGGTGGCAGTTGGGCTCTGAGGGAATTCCTGAAGAGCTCCTGTGGTGCAGAGTGTGTGTTCTAAAAATAAAGTTCGTTTTTGCTTGATAAGTGGCTCGTGAATTGTGCCCAGCCAGACTGTGGCAACCTGTATGAATATAAATTTAACTGATGGGACTAAGAACTGAAACCACTCATGTCAATGTTACCGCTTTTATTCCCCAGGAAATTCTTTCCAATGAAGATATAATTGTAGACCAATAAAATGCTTTAGTGTTTGCACCAGGAAAATTTTGCAAGCCAATTTTTACAGGCAAGCAGTTTGCTTATCTGGGTAAACAATTTACTTATATGTTCTTTATAAACACTTCTCTAGACTGTTGTCTTGCATGCCCATCAGACCTAAAATATTATATCATGAACTTCACTTAATTTCAATCACTTCCTCACCTTGCAAGATATGCCTTAAGCTTTATGAATCCAGAATCCTAAACTTCATAAATACTCTTCTCTAACTTACCCCTCTAGAGACACTGATAAGGCTATATAAAGTTTGTTTGATCAACAGAATTTTCTGGTGGTCTATAAGGTCTTTGACAAGGTGAATACAGCCTTCCCTTGATTGCAGGACCCCTTGCAAAATCTGCAATGATCAAGTCCCTCATGTGAATTGGTATAGTATTTGCATGTAATATATGCATATCCTCTCATACACCCTTTAAATCATCTCTATATTATTTACAATACCTAATACAATGTAAATGCTGAGTTGTTATACAATATTATTTAAAGGATAATGACAATAACAAAAGCCTGTACATATTCAGTACAAATGCATTCTTTTCAGAATATTTATAATGTGGTTGAATTCACACATGCAAAAACCTGTGGGTATGGAGTGTTGGTAGCATCTTCCTATTACCCACCCTAGTCAGAAGCATACAAGAAAGGGAATTCTGGAAAAGTGGTTCAGGCTAGTCAAGTGGACATGTCACAATATCCATTACAGATTATTCATAATGAATTTGACTTTTCTGGGAGGAAAGAAAGATGTGTTTCTTATAAAATTATTGTTATTTGGGTATAAAATTTTAGGTTGTCACTTCTTTTCTTTTTAGAACTTCATATATGTCATAACATTGTTTCCCAAAGTTCTTTATATCTGTTAATTGATTAATAATTAGACTTAT